AGTTAATACAGCTGTGTGAAACAACTTCTGATATACTTGACGTGCTTTGTTGGCTTAACTCAAAACAATCTGCTGCCTGGCCAACCAAACCAGTAACTATAGCTGGTTCAGTCATTCTGGGTTTATGTAGAGAATTGGACTGATTTCTTGTGGTCACACCATTCCCCTGCTGATCAGGTGGAAATTCTGTATCCATATAGTTCCCACTCAGCATGGGATCCTGAAAAGAGTTCTTAAGAGATGAAACAGCCAAGTTCCCTGAACTAATAGTTTCAGGGCTACCAGTGTTCTCAACTTCAAAACTCTCAGAGACTAGCTTGTCCACCAATGTAGTCAAGTGGGTCGTACACACACCACTTTCTTTATGGTCTGCTAACTGAATATCTATTTCAGATGTTCTATTTTGCAGTAAAATGTCCTCTGGCATTTCCCAAAACTGCATAATCCCCTGGCATATATTTGAATACATGGTAACATGTTCTGCTTTAGAATGAAGGGCTTGGAGAACTCTAGGAATGTCAAGTCTATGATAGTATTTGAGACAAATTTCCGAGTTAATCGAGGCCTTCAACCTGCAATTTCATTTGGTAACAAAGATCAAATTAACATTATCAAAGATGAGCTGCAACTTAACGAGAGAAACTTTGATGTTAATTATGAAGGCAACCCATGTATCATCTTACTTATCTTAGTTCTTAAATAAAGATTCTGAAGGTTGACAGTGGTGAAAGAATATAAGATAAGGCATTAGAAACATACACAAGTAAATGGTCACAAGTACCCACAAAGACTTGTTCATAACAGTCAACACCGAAATTTTCTCCTGCCCTTAGAGCTGTACCTCTCAAAATTTTAAGCCCTGTAGCATTTATTTTACACTCAGGACAAAACCATGATCCTTCCGGCATATACATTTTGCACAGTCCCAAACATCTTGAATGGTAAGATGACGGGCAACCATCACAACAAAGCAGAAATCCATCCATACCACAAAGCCGGCATTCATCCCCATTATCATCCTGGTCAACAACAGAGCTGTCAACTGGTCCACTTATTTCAGACCCCAAAGAATCAGAATTAAGAGACAGCTTTATCTGGTGACGCTCTGCAACGATTTGCATTGCATCTTTGTCCTTGCAGATAGAAGTTTTAGAATATCTCGGATGAACTCTTTTTGGTCCACCTGCAGGGGCAACGGTCGTCCCTGTATCAGTGTCTATTCCTACTTCTAATTCTTCACGCATGTCAATTTCTACTCTTAGCTCTTCAGAATCCAGAATATCATCACACAAAATTTGCAAAATCATTAGCTTCCTCCCAACAGATAAAGTATAATAATCTCTCTCCAGGGTATGTGTATAAAATCCTTTCCAGTCAGGTCCATCTGTATACCCCATAACCATTAAATAGTGGACCAAGTAAACTGGCCAAGTCAATGAATCAAGCAAACTCCAATCTATGCACCTGAGAGCAGAAAGGTCAAAAAAAATATAAGAGCGATCTTGCAAAATGACACGCACAAGAAAGGAGTATACAGTAAGTGCTCCACAACGGAATATTTTCAAGTGAGGGCATGATTAGCAGGAGAATACTTCATGTAATGTGGATAAATAAAAATGTCATTTCAAGATTTTGTTTAGCATAAATGAATATCTTGTAATGATCAAACGATTGCGACAGTCCAACACCCAAGGATTTCTGAAAACAATGCAAACTACAATATCATAGACATGAAATTCATACAACTTGCTTTTGAGTTATGTATTGAGGGAACGATTTTGCATGCTTTTCCTTACTCAAGTGTGATAGAAGCAAGCAACAAACAAGAAAAGAATAGTTCCATCAAAGATGTACATCAACTTTCATTAACAGCCAAAACAGCAATTGCAGTGCATGCATTCACCAAAAAATGGGAAGGAATTCAACCAGATCTAAGAAAGTACCTCAAGCACTTTGATGCAAGCTCTGAACCTTCAGATGAGAGCCTTTCAATATGGCGTTTCAAGGCAGACATTAAAGCAACGTGAACAGAATCCAACAAAGTGTTCGCAACAGAGCAATTTAGCGCCCCCACAAAATCATCCAATCCAAAAGGATACAGAAACAATGGGACACTAAATGAACGCAGAACACAATATACAGAGAAAAGGTGCGAAACATACTCCTCTGGGACTCCAATGTGCCCAGAAGATGGAGGTAATTCTGGTGGAGGAACAACTGGTTCTTCCACCTCCAGACTAGCATCCTGCTCCTGAGCATCATCACATGAATCACTTGATGAATCACCATCAGCATAAGTATTGCCTTCTTCTTGGACCTCCTCCACTTCAATAGCACCAACCCCACTGTTTGTGGGCTCACTTAACGGCAATGCTTCAACCTTGTTGTCAACCGTAGCATTTGCTGGCACATTTTTAAATTTAGAATTCTTTGCCTGTACATCTTTACTTAACAATAGCTCCTCCAACTTCTTTTTCCTCTCCAACCATTCACCAGTTATTTTGCTATCTTCAACTAAAAGCACCTTCAATTCACCACTCTCTAAATCCTCACAATCACCATCCTCGTAATCTATCCTGTACAAACCAGATTCATAAGATGCAACCTTTCCCAAAAACACCCCACTGCCCTCAAATTCTTTCATTACATACCTACCAACTATTCTTTTCGACCTAGTTTCCACTATTTTCCTCTTACCATCACCATCCACTGTTACATTCTCTACATCCTTTATCTTCCTTTTTCTCCCCCGACGCCTCTCTGCTCCAACCACTATAGACTCCATTATTTCACCACCTAAATTTACCCCAAAATAAATCCAGTGCTTCTCGGGTTTCTCTTCCTCGGATGTGTTTGATTTATCAGTTACAAGTAATATCCGTCATCGCACCTGTTTCAGTAGATTAACACAAATTTCAGGACCTTCTCAGATCCATATCACGTAATGAAAGAACGGAAATTAAGCAGCAAGAGATTCCATCCAAAAAAATAAAACAATGCAAACTTTGCGGTTATTTTTTAATATCAAATATGAAGAATATATATATATAATAAATCGAAGAAAATGCATAGAAAATAAAATTTGGGGAAAATACAAAATACCGATTACCAAATTGATTCCGGTGCCGATACGAATATGTTAACGGACAGCATCGGTTGCCATATGTATAAACGTGAAAAAAAAAAAATTAAATAATGGGAAAAAATCGAACAGTACCTTTTGAAGAAACACTAATTGGAAACCTCGATTGAAGAATTTTGGGAGAGAGAGAGGGAGAGACAGAAGGCAAGTGATTGCCGAATGATGTGAGGCAACAATAACCCTAACCAGGTCACGCTTCCTGTATTCAGAATTTAATGGGGAAGATGGACTTGGAACCCTCTCGAAAATAGGATTAATTATTCTTAACTCGTTTTGACTCGGACGAGTTCCGAGTCATGCGTACCTGTTGATTATCCTATTCCTAAAAATAATTTATCCTAATTGTATTCCAACCTATAAAGATAATAATAATATCTAGCCCATATTTGTTGGGATTAAAATCAAATTTTTAATAAATTTTAATAAAAGTTGATAAAATACATTGTTAGAAAACTGTGAATTGCATGAAATATATAACTAAAGTTAATTATGGTATTTGACTTCAATAAAAATCAAGATTTTAATCCCCACCACACGAGAGCTAAGCAAATTTGTGAATAGGATATGATGTTGAAGTTTATATTGGACTTAAACTTTAAATAGAAAAACTTTAGAATTGCATATTCTGTTAATACACACACACACGAATAAATAAAAATTTCCTTACTCTTGGTGGTATTAAAATGCTTACCTTTCTTGAGTGTACGTAAAAAATAGAATTTGACAGGAGGTGATGCAGTCAAGCTTTCCAGCTGAGTGCTTGAAGTCAGAACCACACTACACGTATAAAATGGACACTTACTGAGGCTTTACAGACTACACTCAAATGGAGGAGGATGGCATTTTTTTGCAATTTTTTATCATCCGTGGTTCCCACGTGGGATCGACCTCATGGGTCCGTTCTATAAGAGTTTTGTGAAGAATTCCTTTGTAGATATGGTTTTGCTCTTGAAGTTAAGCTTTGCAAGAGTACTAGAATTTATAATGCCGTGCAAAAAGAGCAGTGGATATTAAATAACCATAACAGATCATTTGAATGGACATCAAGCAATTAATATTATCATTCTTGGACCAAAATATCTTCTTTAAGAAGGTGATTCCACTCCATTTGATGAAACATTGACAAGTAATAATAAAGTGGGTGGATTTTGTGTGGGAGATGCAAAAAAAGTGATTCAAGATTCATCATGTGTCCAAGGCCTTTTGTTCTTCTACGTATATGTTATTTTGGTACAAATTTTCATATGATCTCTAGATTGAAGAGGGACAAGCGCCTACGAAAAAGATTGTTTGTATTTGTCCGTGGTTTTTTATCTCAAGACTATGCCACGGTGTGAATTGAGTCAAGATGTGGGGTTGGTTTGCTTCTTCATCATAGCAAGGATGCAAGGCGGGTAGTTAGCTTTCATTCTCCAGTTGATGCTAAAGCTTTAGTAGCTCAAGAGGATTAGTGTACGAAATGAGATGAGATTTCAAATTAACATTGTAGGACGCTCAAATTTTTCCTATCCATAAAATCTAGTGACTTTTTTTCCTTTGAATAATTTATTAATTTTTATAGTGCAAAACGGGCTTCTTGAAGTAAGGTGTGGTCCTTGTTTACTTTGTACCTATAGATAGGAATAGAATAATCCACTCGTAGTTTCAAACGATGACTACAATGAAAAATCACTTTGTTTTTTAAAACGAATTTATTTGATTTCTGAAAAGATCGACTATGCTCAATCCAACACAAAATCCTTAATTTGCAAAGGAGTACCTCAAGTCAATTTCTTCATGTTTCATCTCTTTTCATGTATTCATACCTAATCCACAAGAGTTTTCAAGTTCTTTGCACAAAAATCCTTTTGAGGGTTTCGCATGGTGCCCCACTACCCTTGCATTTTCAGGGTAAGAATAGGGAAAAAATGTCTTGGGCCAATGTTCGAGACATATCTCAATGATCATTCTAAGAAAATGGAAATTTCCCTGAAATTTTAACATGCGGCATGTTTGACATGTGAGCTCTTCTCGCATATGTATAAAATTGGATTCACTTGATTTTCAAGTGTTTGAAAAAAATTAACAATCCTTAACTTCTCGCGATTCTTTCATTTGTAAATGAAGTACTGTTGTCAATTTCTCCGAGTTTCATCTCTTTCCGCATCTTGAGACACAATCAAAAAGTATTTGCACATTTTCTACATATAAACCCTTGTGAGAGTTTTGCATAATACCGTCAAGGTAAGAAGGTATAGAAAACATGCATTGAGCCCTTACAAATTTTTTACTTGCAGTCTAATACGTAAAGATAGTATTAATTTTGTACTTCATCGAATAAAGATCAATGCAAATTTACAAATAAGAGAATGCGCGCGCACGCCTAATTTATAAATAGAAGTACACCGAAATTGGAACTTCTGCAATTCTTTTCCTATTCTTGGTGGTATTAAAATGCGCTGAGCTCAAACCAGCAACTCGATAAACTCATTTGGCTCTATGAGGGGAAATGATGTTAATCGATACAAATAGGATTTATCTAGGAATGAAGGTCACATGTCAATTTTTTTGAGTTTCACTTCTTTCCAATTATTTGTACACAATACAATAAGGTTTTGCACATTATATCTACATCTGCCCTTGTAAGGATTTCACATGTTGTCCGTATATTTTCACAGTATGAAGATGTATAAAATATATCTCAAGGTAATGTTCAACTTGTGTCGTCACACAAAATGGATATTTCGTAAGTTTTTTTCCTACAATGTAATAGAAAGGTCTGGACATACGATTATTTTACAAACAACCTACAATGAATTTCACTAATACAGTAATACCTAATTGTTTCATCACTTAGGTCAACTCGGCAATTTCAATAGATCGTTTTAAAACCTAATCCAATGACTAAAGATCGAACACATTCAACTTTTACATATTATTGTTGATCATTTGCATCCTCATCGTGAGACTGAATGTAATCGAAGGAAAGGGGATGTAGGTACGATAGGAAGGCACAATTAAGTAAGGGAAGGCTCTCTCTTTCTCCCTCCATGATCTTGTGTAACGCCTTTCCACCCATTATTGTTCTTCATTCCAAGTGAGCAAGTCAAAAGCATTTGAGATGATAGCAAAAGTAAGCAGGGAAGCGGAAGCGAGGGTCTTCAAATCACTTTTGTGTGAAAATAATTTTCGGTAGCTTTTCATTGGTCTCTTAAGGCAAAGTCTCGCTTAATCATTCATCGATCTTTTCTTCTTCCTTTACTATTAATATTAATTACCACATGAGTAATGGGTCGCTTGTATAATAGTCTTTTGTCGTGTATAATTATTTAATAGTATAATAATTAATATTTTTTACTATTTATAAACATATTTATAGTGTCTAGTAGTAAAAGGTAGCTATTTTCTATATTATAGAAGATGCATACATATATTTGGATACAAAATATGGTGCAAATATCTATAAGAATTACATTATAAATAGAATTACAAACATAATTCGTTAAAAATTTGGTAAAGGCAAGAAATGTAGCTAATTTTAAAATTATAAAAAAGAATTAAGTCCTCGTTTGGTCCCCATTATTTTTAGAATACATTTTTTCTTTTTTATTTTCACCACACATTTTTAATAAAATAATATTACACGCAAATTTAATTTTTTTCTTATTTTTAACCGCACATTCTTCATCAAAATATTATTTCAAAATAACTTTTAAGCAAATAAAAAGGACAAACAAGCTCTAAGCCCCTGTTTCGAAGCAATATTTCATCCTAGAAAATCAATTGCTCGACCGTTAATTCATTGTTTCAACCATCATTTTTTACTTCTTCACTCACAGAGGGACCCATTTTTATTTTTCTTTTTAACGGTTAAAAAATCAATTCTCATAATTACTACCAAACATGTCCTAAGTTTTGAAATTGGTTAAAAATATCAATTTCTTGTCATTTAAAGTGAGAAAAAAAATGAAATGAGTTGGAATCTTAAAATAAAAGACTGGACAAAAGAAGTATTGAAAATGAAAAAGAAATAACTGTTGAAACGAAAAAAAAAAATTTGTAACGAGTTCACAGGTTTTAAGAGTCAACTCGGTTACTCGGACAAAACATGGACCAATTTCATTTGTTTTTGGCCTGCTATTTCTAATTATTACAAAAGATAAAGATAAAACAGATCAGCCGTCCGCACTGAGCAGAGTACGATGAATTGGCGGGAAGGACTTCAATATTTTCATAGTCCAAAACATGGAATTATTTATTTGTATAATTAATAATCACCACTTGCCTTTGTTGTCCTCCTTTCCAAAATTTTAATTAGCCCATATTTGATACAAATTAAAATTAAAATTTTAGTTTAAATCAAAGTGAATTATTAATTTTAATCAAATATTTTATGAGATTCACAATTTTTAACCACGTAATCTTTTTTTTTTTTTTATCAAACATGCTAAAAATATAATTTTACTCTCCGTCAAGTATGGGCTTGTTATAAGTTTTAAAAGTAGATAAAACCTCACGTCGTATTTATAGAAATTTCTTGAATTAGATTCATAATTTGTTGTTCATGTTTTAATTTTATATCTAACCATTTGAAAAGTCGATGGTTAAAGTTACTCTATATCACATTATTTTCAAGCTTTTGAAATTAAAAATCTGTGCTCATTAAATTTTCATATAGTTCTAAGGATGTCAACAAGTCGAGCGGAGCCGACTCATGATTTTTATTTTTTCAAATGGCAGCAGCATGGTTGCACGTGATACCAATGCAGCTACACGTAGTTGCCAAAGATGTAATTTTTTTTATATATAAAAATTTGCTTACAGGCCGAAAATGGCCCATGTTGCTCGTCGGCTCGAACACGGGCTGACCCTCCAAAATAGGGCTCAGTTCGAGTCGTAAATCGGGCCAGTGCAAGCTTTTTTCGAATCAAGCCAACGAGCTAAATTGACATCCATAATTCCAATAAAAAGTTATTTGTTGGGTCATTCTCTTTTTGTTCAAGATTTTCGTAAATGGACATCATATTTACGAGGAGATTTGTTGGTGTATTCAACCTACTAGCGAGCAGGTGTACATGGGGTTGATTTACCACACGTTGTTCGTATAGCCTCAAGAACAACGCATACAATTGCTCAAGAAAAGAATTCAAGTGACTCAAAATAGTTATATATACCTGTAACTCGATCTAATAATGGAAAGTTTTTGCTTGGTGGATATGAGAAAGAAGTAGAAACGCAAATTTTTGGAAGATTCTATGATGAAGGATTATTATTATA